ACAAACTCATGTCGTCTTCGAACAGAAAAAAGAAGATCTTACTAGATGACTCGGCCCGTACGAGCGATTTTCGAATCGATTTCTCTTTCTTTCGCTTTATTATCAAAAAGGATATCATAACTTTAGAATAATTTCTGGGAGACAAATTCATTCTCAGGCTTCAGTATATATTTAAAGGTGCACAACAGCTGTTATGCGTGAAGACGGGGACCTGGGTGCCACCAATCCAAGAATAAACCGCTGGTTAGAGGGAGTGGAGACTGCTATAAACGAGGGAACTTTGTACGGGAGAGAGGAGGACAAATCTGTAAGTGACAATATATGTACAAACGTGAAATGCTTGCTATTAACATACAGTACAAAAGAATTATTTAACGCTGAATTTAGTGAAACAAGTACAAATATTATTTTTGTTCTATAAGGATAATAAGCAATCATTTTTGAGCTTAAAACAAATTGCCCTGTTTTCTATTTCATAGTTGTACTAACACATAGTAGCATTCTCAGAGAATATAAGTTATCAAGCAGTAACAAATGGCAGTAAACAAGACAAATCATGATAACTTTGTTAAATTTTCCTCAGATTCACGTATTCACAGGCCAGATGTCCGAAAATAATTTACTTTGGAAAGCAATTTTCACATAGCATTGGCTTAAACGTTCAAGATTCGCTATGTCTGCCTTTTTTAAACACTTAGACTGCTTGATGCATTTTACAATTTCCTTCTCACGTAAACAGAATGATCATTTTCTTGATTAGTATATCGCCGCTTCAATAGTTGAAACAGCTTTGCAATAGAACAAAAAAGTCAATAAACTGAAAACACAAAATAACATAGGCATACTGCGTTGGCAAACTAAAATATTTCCATTTTGTAATTTCGACTCACTTGCGGTCATCTCTGGGCAACCGCTAAAGCCCGTTACAGAATTACATTTTGATTCAACGTTACAAGTCGAGATATGAAGATAGCAACTGAAATGCGTTAATGAGTTATGTTATTAGTCTGAATTAAAGAGGATTTTTTACTAGGAATACTGGCAGAAATAAATCGTTATTTAAAACATTTTTACGTATCAAAATGAAATGCTTTATAGGTATGAAAAACCTGATTGTAACAATTCAAGTTGTTATTTCATGTTGTAATTTTCAGTTCACGGACATCTGCCTACAGTTTATTTTTTATTTGCATTTTTTCCTCTCGTTTCTACGTTCAACGACGTGCTAATTTTCCTTATTCCCCTCGGTATGTTTTCGTTCGTTTTACGGCAGAGCGCTCAGTTTTTGTTGAAAGTAATTTCTTCCAAGTGCAGTGCTAATTCACCATCGTAGACAACATGTAAGTTTTGTTTATGAAGGCAACTTGGAAGCCAGAATAGCTGCTGAAAAAATACTACAATAAACAAGAACAAGACTTGAGGGCTATCTAGATTGGGCAAATAAGCTATTTTTATCAACAACACCTGTTCCAACGCTGACTGCGGTTTCACATCCTCAAGGCTTGAATTAAAAGGAAAAATATCCATCGCGTTAGGCGGCTGACGAGAATACTTTAAAACAACAGGCATTTGCGTCAATGAGCCGACGTTTATTAAGAAGTCTCCTATAGTGCGGGAAAACTGTCATTCAGTAAGGTAAGGCTTTTCATGTTGCTAATTTACCGGTCTTAAAGAAAAATATATTACAAATATCCGGAAATCCAATTCGGACGCGACGTATGCCGCAGAAAGCATTAGCAAAATGTAAACAGAAAAGCGCTCTAATGCCAAATCCAAAACCGGCTAAATTCAGCTGGTGGCAAATACAGTACTGTCTCACGCGTTTGAATTTCATGTTCGAACCAGTGGTCGACTCGCCGAGTACGATGGCTAAAGAACCATGGAAGATAAGTGGAATTGAAATTTTTTAAAAAAAAGGAACAATAAAGGTAGCTCTTTAAGATTCATTTCAACCGATTTCACTGGCATCACACTGGCTTTCAGCAAAGCAAGCCGGTCGTTTTGTTTTTAAGCCGCGATCAATGAATTGTTGAATAATTTAAAAACCCAACCAAAGGCAAATTATTAAAACGTTTTGAGCCAATGAGATGTACTAAAAAGAAATCAACGCTACTATATGGTTCTTTCAAAATTGATCTCAAGGGGAAGTCTCCTTAGCTGACATGAATTGCCACTCTAATGTCGGTAGGGTCACAAGTTAGCCAGTTCTGATTGGCAAAGAGAGCTTTGCAGTGCGTCCCTAATTTCGTATTGAGCTCTTTAGTAAGGTTGTCTTCCGGCGGCAAGCCAGTCTGCTTGAAAGCGTAAACAGTGATAGACAAAATAAACAATTTCATTTTGATTCGTGATTACAATTCCAAATTTAAATCCACACAAGTTTCAATTTTCTGTGAATTAATGTTGAGTTAGAATTGCTCTCTCTCGCTGAGAGCTATTCCGGATTTGACGTCAATTGATATGGAACTTCAGGCTACCTATTTGTAGATTCTAATTCTTTGTCATGAAGAGTAATTCACTGAATCTCCCCTATCTGAAATTAACAGCTCTCTATTGACTTAAGTCCAATTATGTCGAACTTTTCAGAGTCAGAATCATCGCGTTACGACTTTTACTATTTGCACGTTATCGATTGATAAGAAGGAGTTTTAAATATATGATCCATTTAAATATATTTTTTTTAGTTGAGCTTAATTGCGTAGGCGGCCCAATATGCACATTCTCATTGTATTGGACCCCAACACAAAAACATCATTTTCCTATTTGACGCCATTCAGTTGTGTGCCTTTTTAATATATTCTGAATATATCCGAAATACCGTGTTATCTAAATTATCGACTTCTGAAACGGGCCTAAATTTATTTATACAAATTGTCTGCCAAAATTAGGTTGTGGTCTTGCATTAGAAAATGTCTGTCATTCCTTTTGTTGACTAATTTATAGTAATAGAGCCTTATCTAGAGCAAAATTCATTGTGCTCGACTGCAGTCGATATGTTTTCAAACGATGGCAGCCGTGGGAAAAAGATTTTTAAAGCATTCTTACTGAGCAATAAGATTCAGGGACATATATCCAAACGGGCGCAGATCCTGTACTTTTAAAATTCATTTAACCGCGGTGACAAATGGGAATTCGGAATTCGCCAATTAGCGCTGATAATAAGTTGAGTTCAAGATCCATATCGAGATCGTGGTTTTGTTGGGTGGAAACTCTCTGGTGACATAATTAAGTGACGCAAATGCTTTGAGTTGAACTTGCACACAACAAAATGGTAAAGGAAACGTTGACAATTTGGAATGTCATAATGTAGCATTTTGGAACGAGAATCGTCGAAAGTCCGCTAGAAATGGAATAGTCGGTGAGCGTGGTGGATCGTGGTGTAAATTAACATCAGTGTGCATCACAAACAGTGCATTCGTTAATTTGCATATTGCTCAAAATTGAGCTTGATCATGTAGTAGCTTGGCGAAATATTCTCGGTTAGTTTATTGTCTCAAATAACAAGTACTAAGAATAATTTTTGTATTTTGTTTCAATGCATACAGGAGGTGTGGACCGGCTTTAGAAGAAAAAGCGTTCCTTCGTTGTCGATCAACCATCAACTCCGGACAGACGGCATCCGTGATAACAATCACCATATTGAGTGGCTGGATCTTGACAGCTCACGCGTGTGTTATTTTCCTCCTCAAAATTTTACCGCTAAAGACAAAAGCACAGCTTTAATACTACCAGAAATTCCAAGCCAAGCTACTCAAAAGTACCCGAGATCGACAAAAAACAGGTTGGAAGTGATCGATTTGGAATACAAGGTCGAAACTGAGTTAATGAAAAAAGATACACGAATGGAATCAGCTAATAATCCCATGGATGACGACAAATGTGATTGTCAAGTGTCAATAACAGAAGGTGTCAATCTCCTCTCTTTCAATCAGCACAATAACAATGATGAGGAAGAATTGACCGATGACCACTTCTCCAAAAGTGCGCTAATCACGAAATGGCGTGGTTCGACAGGTTCTGTTGATAGCAACAGGGATCAGTTAACAATCACTGAAACAACAACGAACGATATGAGATATGAAACAATTACTAATCATGTTCGGGCTGACACACAGCCAAGCAGAGAGAAGGGAAAGTTTTCATTACCGCCGTTAAAGAATAACGAAGGAAGGCGCCATACTGTTCATGAAGTGCCCAGCATTACAGTGTGTCAGGATGGCGAGATTCGGGTAGGCAAGGACGCAGAGGACTCAATCTTCGATCCCAGATTTCTAATGCCAACCGAGGTAAGTCTTGTTATTTAAACATAAAGTGAGGTACACTTTGTTGCACTGCGACTATTTTTATGCGATACCTCTTTTTACGATCACCAACGCTTGGCTGGGCTCTGATACTAAATAAACTCAGTCGAAACCCGGTTTCAAACAAATCAAGCGAGAGTTAAACGCATTAAAAAAACGTGGATTTTTAAATGATTGATTAATTGATTGATTGATTGATTGATTGCCTGATTGACCGACTGATTGATTGCTTGATCGATTGATCGATCGATCGAATGATGACTCGATCAGTCGGTCGATCGGTCCATAGATCGATCGCTTGATTGGTTGGCTGGTTGGTTGATTGTTTGATTGATTGATTGATTGATTGAT